CAGGAGGAGGCTGTCTTTAGCACACAGCTGTCTCCTGTGTCTGAGTTTGGGATTTGTTTGGGGTCCTGGAATTCAGTGCATTTATAGAACCGATTTTTGTTGAGCCATGATTATCTTTTGTTTTACACTCCAAAGTTAGGCACCAGATCTGTGTGTGTGAGTGTGTGTGTGTGTGTGTGTGTGTGTGCGCGTGCACAATTAAATTTCAAAGCATACATATGCTTCCCTCAAATCAGAGCCAGAGCCAAAGGACAATGGACATTTGGAGGCATGGAGTGTAGGGCCCATGTCACAGGGTGCAGGTCCACCTAAAGCAGAGGGTTGGCAGCCCATTTGTTCTCCTGCCTGGGAGACACAGCCCAGGAAGGAGGCAGAACCACGCCATGGTTGAAGCTCTTGCCCAGCTGTCTCCTGGACGCTCCTAGGCCCACAGCCAGAGAATATTTTCAGACTGGACATTTTTTGGCAGTCAAATTTTCACCAATAGGACCTATTTTCTTTATGCATCCAAATCCAAAATCTGAAATAAAGAATGTGCCTTTTAAAGAGAACACTTCTCGTTTTGCACTGCAAGAAGGAACCAGTGTTCTTCTGTGGGAAAGGAGGCTCTTTGTTTCATGGTATTTTTAGCCTCTGAGAACCATAAAATGTCAGCTTTGAAGGGCCCTCGTTCTAATCCAGTGGGTCTCCATCCTGGCTACACATTAGGTTCAACCTAACGAACTTTTTAAAAATACTGTCATCCATGACCCACCCCTCAATCCCTCACGATGGAACCCAGGCATCTGTATTTTCTAGAAACTTTGAGTGACTCTAAGGCCCATTCAAGGCTGAGGACCACGGTGAGCAAGTGGCAATCTGCAGCAGAGCATAGGCCAGGAAGGCCCGCCCATAGCTATAGCCCTTCCTGCTCAGGACCCCTGCATGGACCTTCTTTCCAGGCTGTGCACAGACCCCTGGTCTACAGTCTCCACCTGCAAGGATCCAAATAAAYGGTTGATACTGTTTAGCTGATGGTGTTAACCAGGAACACAAGCATTAGAAGTTCAAAGTGCTGGTCCTGTCAATGAGACCTCTCAGCTAGGCCAAGGAAGAACAGAAGGGCGTAAACCTTCCCTCGGCAGGCCCAGGAGGGACCCTGGGAGAATGCAGGGGATGAGGCCCTGTACTGCCCAGGGCAGCAAAAACACAGCCTCAAGTTCCACTCAGGAACAGATTGGGCAGCAGGGATCAGAAGACTTAGATACACCCAGGGCAAAGCTCTGACCAGCACCCTGAGCCTGCAGCAGCTGGGACACTGGGAGGGGAGAGCTGTGCTCAGGGAAGGCTTCCTGGAGGAGGCAGCAGGGCGTGGGCATACTCACCTGATAGAATGAGGGAGAAGCCGCCTTTCCAATGGAAGGACCACCGTGGGAGTGGATAGCAGAAACAACGCATAGAAAGTGTTTGAGACCCTAGCAAGTAGCTCACCGCTCCTCTGACCGTGAATAACATAGCTACCTTTACTTGGACACTTCCCCGGGTTACGCCCCAGGCTGGGCACCTTGAGTGTGTGCTCCTCTGGCAATTCTGAGGGTGCCTGATTTCAGTTACAGTCACACAAGCTCAGAGATTATGGTTTCTTTTTCAATCTTTGTCCCTCCAGCCCCCAGCATACAGCCTGGCACAAAACAGGTGTCCCATGTCATTTGTGGAACGACGTATGAGTTGATTAAGTCAGAAGACTAGTGTAGCATCTCCTCAGCACCCAGGATGTCCAAGGCCAAGGTCAAGGGCATGGGAGTAACTTTAACCTTTTGCCACCTGTGGGGCTGCTTTTGAAAGGTTCTTTAGGATGAAATATCTTGAGCTGGCTCTGGCATACAGTAGGCACTCAATAAACACGGGCTGAGTGTCCAGACCCTTGCACTGCAGGAGTGGTAACAGTGCACTGAATTGAGAGCCAAAGGACTGAGTTCAGGTGCCCAGCATGTGGCCATGAGCTGCTACTTAACCTATTGGAGGCCCCACCCTCCTCTTTAGACTGGGGGAATTAGGCCTGATTGACGGTTTGCCAGGAGGATTAAATGCAGGAACTTGTCAAGTGCCTGTCAGCCTCCAAGTCCTGCCCCCARGGAGAAATTATGGTGATTATGGTCATCGTGGGGAGCTGAGCTTTATTCCCGTGCTGGTGCTGAGGGACACTATATACTGTGGGGCCGGCTGTGTGGCTGGGGGCTCCATGGGGTGTCAGCCACACCACTTCCTGGCTCCCGWTGATTTATTCCGATCATCCTGCATATTTCATGTGCTGTTCCCCTCGCCAAATAAATAAATCAGGCTCTGCTTCTATGAGTAGCAGGAGCTGATTGGGGCATCTGTGGGGCTGGGGACTTCAAAAGGCCAGAGCAGAGATGCTAGAGCCCCAGCAGAGTGTGCTAATGTGACATTTAGGAGCCTGGTGACCCAGGCAAGCAACAGCTACCTGCACAGTGTGATGACCCCCCCCCCCCCCCGACAGGAACCCTTGCAGAGAGAAGGAAGTGACTTTTACAGCTTCCCTTCTACCTCCACAGTCAAAGGAACAGGCAGGAGTGTGACCCAGGGGATGCCCTGTCCCCTCTTCTGGTGTTCCTAAGGGACCAGAGGTGCATCTGCACTTCTGCAAAGAAATTCACTTAGAACAAACCGAAGAGGCAGCTTCCCTGGGTAGCCACTTGAAATTCCTTTGTAAGTTCTGGGCATTTTGCTGGCCAGGGTCTGAAGCACTTGGGGCCCACCTGCACATATGGGGGCCCTTCATGCTGGGCTGTCTGTAGCTTTGAGTTCAGGAGGCAAAGGACATAAAACTGTCACCTTATAGGGATCCCATTGAGGCAGCCCCTGCTGGGAAGAGCATGGACTGTTGGGAAAGTCCAAAGTTTAAATATGGATCTTCCCCTTGTATCATCGGGGACCCGTGTGAAGCCTACACCTCCTGGACTGTAAGGTAGGAATAAGAGCAGCTATTCCTCACACGTCAGAGCTAAACAAGAAATGGGCACAAAGGAGTCCAAATCAGGCCAACTGACTTAGTCCATTTTCTTGTTGCTGTAACAAAGTTTCTGAGGCTAGGTACTTTTTATAAAGAGATACATCTAGCTTACAGTTCTGAAGGTTCAGGAGCATGGTGCCAAACTTCACCTTGGCTCTGAGTCTCATGCTGGGTAGAACCACAGGATGGGGGCTGTGTGAGGGTGGTGAGCGGTGACTGGGGAAGAGGAGTCAGGGTGGGTGTCCGAAGCCCTTTAGYAACTCATTCTCACAGGAACCAAACAGTGTCCCTTAGAGTTGCATGAATCCCAACGGAGGGTGGTGTCCTCCATGCCTCCCTACGGGCCCCATCTCTTAAAGTTTTCTTCACCTCAGCACTGCCACATGGGGGACCATGCTTCCCGCACAAGAACCTCTGGGGACACATTCACACTGTACCCTAAACATAGCACCACGGTAGGGGCTCTGTAAGTACCCTCGGCCCTTCCTGTCTGCTCCCCATCTTTGTCAAAGCCTGCTCTACCCTGGGGTTCCACTGTCAYTCCCTGTGTTCCTTCCTCTGACCCCCACCTTTCCCTGAATCTGCTTCACCTATAGTCACCAATCTCCGCCATTTACCAAAGTCACCAACCCCAGCTCAAGGGGTTTGTTGTGCCAGTCTCAGAGACTTGTCATTGCTGGCCACCTCCACTGTGAACTTGTCCCTTTTTTTGGCTTCTGAGATGCCCCTCTCTTCCAGCACCCTGCTCCTGGGGTCCTGGTCAGAACTTCCCAGTCTCCTTTGAGAGCAGCTTTGCTCTGCCCACACCAGAGGTCAGTGTTTCCCTGATGCCACTCTTGGCCCTCTTCTCCTGGGCTCACTCTCCCTGAGGTCTCATCCCTGCCCCCTGCCCCAGCTTCCATGCTGATGATGGCCTCAACTCTGCCCCCAGCCCACACCTCTGCCCTRGGCTCCAGACTCAGGACAGCTCCTCAGTGACCCACAAGCACCTCAGCTCAGCACACCCAAAACAGACTTGTTTTCTCCCCACTCCTTCTATCTGACCCCTTCCTGAGTTCCCCACTCATGGCATGGGACCTGAGCACTCGTCACCATCACCCCTGGAATCCTGGATGACTTGCCTGCCCACACTTCATCTCCTAGTTGATCATCGTATGTGTCTGTTTTACCTGGAAAAAAGAAACCTTTGTCAAATCCGATCCCCCTCTCCATTCCTCCTGCCTCCTTCCGGGTCAGTCCTCATCATCTTAACCTCAGCAATGACCAAATCCAGCAATGGGATAGTGAGGGGGAGGATCTAAGTCTGGTGCACCTGAGGAGGGTTTGAAAAYGCACTGAATCAGTGCACAGGAGGATCCAGTGGCAGCGGGAAGCCATGCTCAGTGTGWTGCCGCAGAGCAACACGACCCCCAAAGATGCTCAGTTCATCCGAAGATGATTGTCAGGGCTCAGGTGTCCAGAGTGGGGCAGAGGGTTATCCCCTCTACTCCCTGCTGACCAAGTCATACTCACCAGAAAGACAGTGACATCTTCCTTGGAGTGTGGCCCTAGGAAGGGCCTGGGTGGGGCAGGAAGTAGAAATGAAGTTCYGTAAGGAGGTGTAGGGGCTCTTGCCATGAGGATGATGGGCCTATGTCTTTGAGTCTCTAAGGTTGGTCCCCAGATAGAGGGAACAGTCTGTGTGGTCCCAGAGGGAAGAGCCAGTGGAGCAGGGGGAAGCTGCGGGGAGATGGTTCAAAGGTCAGAATGAACTTGGTAAAAGCATAGAGTCCAGTTTTGGGGTGAGTGGGCTCTCCATCTTTGAGTTACACAGCAGAGGATGGACACCCAGTTGGGGAGATGGTGGGAAAGGAGGTCCCAACCTATCTGGGTTGGGGGCTTTGTGATTCCACCTGGAAGGAACGAAGCCTGCTGGAAAGTGCCAGGATGGGAGCCAGACATACACCCAGGATCCCCGTCTAATTGGCCACCGTCTCTCTCTCTCCAGACAGCAGGGAAGTGAAGGTGGGGGAGTACAACGCTGTGGCTGACACCCTGGAGATCATCAATGACACCATCAGGTTCCAAGGTAAGGCAGGGGCTTCTCAGAGGAGAAGGTGCTCAGTCACTCCCAAGGCTGGACATTGTCTGGGGACTGGGATAAACTGAGTCCTTGATTTCATGGGGTCAAGGTCACAGCCTCAAAACAGTTACTCCTTACAGAACACAGGGTCCCAATCACTCATGTTCATTTCAGAACCTGGAATGGGTTCCTGGAATTTTCACAGAGTGAGATATTTAAGCCATTGGGTGACCAGCAGTCATTCTTTTGAAAGGTGGTCCAGCTAAATTTAGCTATGTCTCCAACTCTGTGAAAGGTTTTGGTTGGATTGGCAATAAGCTCTTGCACTTGCTGCTCTTGCTAGAAGACCTTTCCCTCTCTTCTGCTAGAGGACTCCTCCTAGCCTTCTAGAATCAGGTCAAATGTCACTTCTGTGCAGCCTTCCTTGACCAGCCAGCTAACTCTTTGCTTCTGACTTTTGTCTCTGCCTCTCCTATGGCCACCATCACTTTGCCTTGAAATTGTGATTTGGACCATGATCCTCCTTCCAGATTCCTGATATCAGTCAGGTCTGGCACATGTTGAAGATTCAGTGACATCTGATTGAAAAAGTAATACATGATGGGGTCACATGGATGGATGGATGAATGGATAGATGGATGGATGGATGCATGAATGGATGGATAAATGAATGGATGAATGGATGGATGAGTGGGTGGGTGGGTGGGTGGATGGATGGATAGGATGGCTAGCTTTCTGTGCCTTCTTAAAACCAAGGCCACCAGAAAAGGTTCTTCCATGACCCTTTGGTTAGACTTGCCATGTCCCTACACGTCCACTGGATCTATGGAATTCAACTTTAAGGACATTGCAATGCTCCAGTCAGCCTCCAATGTGGCTCCTGAGTGTGGTCTCCACACTCAGCTGGGCCTTCTTATCCCACCTAAGGGAACCATCACTGAGCATATAACACATTACTTCATGGTGCCACAGAAAATTTTTGAAAAGTAGGTAGGCAAGTTCTCTCATCCCTGTTGTACAGATTGGGAAATGAACTTGTCACCTCAAGTTCATACAGGCTGTGAGAGGCAAGGCCTGTAACCGTGGCTCCTGATCCAGGGCTAGGCCTGTCTGCTCAGGGTTTACTGAATAAGGATTCTGGGTTTAGAAACTGAAGGAAATATTCAAGTACAAAATAAAATCATGAGACATAACTAGAAGAAAAACSAATGGCAGTGGGTGGAGGGGGAGCCAGGGCAATTGCTAAAGAACGGTCAGGGTACCCGCCCATCACCGATGATGCTCAGGCCCTGCCAGGCCAGGCCCACTGCCTGCTTCTCAGTCCTTCTCCGCTGCCCAGAGACTGAACACTAGTGTTTGAATCCAGAGCCACGTCAGGATGCCTCCAGAGTCAGGACCCACCTCTCCTGCCCGTATCTCTGCTCAGTTCAGCTCCAGCCTCCCTCACCCAACTCCCTGCACCAGCYCCTGCCATCTTCCATCACCATTGTGGCTGCTCAAGTCCCATCTGCCCTCAGCAGCCAGAGGGGCCTTGTTGTCACTGAACTGAGGATGCTTCACTTCTGCTCAGAGCCCTGCATGGTCCCCAGTGCTCATTCACAGAGAGGGGGTCTTGCTGTGTGCTGTGTCCCCAAGGCCTTCATTTAGGGGCCACCCCACAATTCTCTGTCTYTCAAATCTCCATAGTCACCCTACTTACAGTTCCTCAGATGTTGTGACACCCCTGTGCCTCTGCCCACTGTGCTCTGTCTTCCTGGTGACCCCAAAGACTTACTCATCTCCCAGGACTCCGCTCCCCCTAGTCTCCTCTCTGGAGCCTCTTGGCTCCATTAGGGGACACTGCACTGCCTGTTTCATGCTGCGGCTGTCCTGTGCYTCATGTCCTCACCCCGCCAGGACCCCATGGCACAGTGGGTAGAGCACAGGCTTCAGAGTTAGGCAGACGCAGGCCCCACTTCTGCCAGCTTTATCACTTACTAGCTATAAAATGCACTCAACACCTAGAAAACTGCTGCCCCTCTCTAAGATGGGAATGGCTGACAGGTAGAAGGTGGCTGTCAATCATGATGAATGAACAAATGGCGGCGAATGGAAAACTAAGGAGTGAATGAACGGGATGGGAAGCAAGAAAGAAAACTCAGGGTCGTCGCTCCCACTAATGCATCTGGTCCACCCTTACCATTTGGCTCCCATACCATTTTCATGGAGATATATCTTGTGGAGGCACCATTTTGGAAAGAGGGAAGGTTGGAATAAAAAGGAGAAGTTGGTGTTAATTTTCTGAAGTTGTTTCTAAACATTAGGGCCCAAACTCACTAGTGGCCATATCACCTTCTACCCAAAACTCAGTGTCCCAAGAGGAAATTATTTCTGATCCCCAGAACTTCTCTTGATTTTGGGAGCCAGAAGGGCCTGAGCCAGCTTCTTGCAGTCTCAGTGTGTGGGGCCAGGGTGATGCAGAGTAGGGAAGAAGTTTCCAGATGTTAAACTCTCACTTCTAGAAGTAATAAAGGATATTGCCTCTACCTTGTGTTTGCTTTTGCCCTGACTTTCAGCCCTTGAAGCCCTCATTTTATAAATGTCACTTTGTATGAGTCACTTAAGGCTTCACCTGAACACACCAGCAGGTTCCCAGCTGTTTTCAAACCTGGCAACTTCCCTAGATTTCTTAGACAGCTCCAACTCTTTTTTTATCCATTGAATGTTTCTAAACGCATTTGAACCTGTGAGCCAAAGTTTTTAAACACAGATGTTAGGGGGAGTTATCCACCCCTGCCACCATTCTGGTGCCCATCCTGGTTTGTCTCCTGGGGAACAGAGGCATAAATGAAGCCAGTGTCCATGACACTCCCAGGGAGGTCATTGTGACCCCTAATGGAGCTCCCGGGATTCCCAGCTTTAGCCATTCCCCTGCATCCAACATCCCTGTATCCCCACTGGAGGGAAAAGTCCTGAAGTTTCACAATTCCACAGCAGAAACCTGACCTGAAATAGTACCTAAGAAAGAAAGGGCTTTTCAGGAAGCTGAGGGAGTCCCTGCATCCCTCATCTCAAACCAGCCTGCACCTGGTAAAACTAAAACAGGGCAATTTTGCAACCATGCAGAGAGATGTGTTTTCTCTGAGACCCTCAGGGCCCCTGAGGTTTCTGGCTCCCTTGATGAATGAGCAGGGCAGCTCTGCAGTCACATCGAGAAATGGAACCCCACAGTTTCAGTCCAGTCCTAGATCGGCAGGAAAGGAAGGTAGCTTCTGCCCCCCACAGTTAGCAAGTCTTATGGAAACAGCAAACCAAAGAACTTGTATAATATAATGACCTTGAGGCAGAAAATCTGCAGCCAGAGCACATCTGTGTCACCACGGAATTGACAGGCGGGAGGTCTGCCCTGTTGAGGGGTGATCATTTATCATGTGTGGGTAGGAGCAGAGTCCTTGAGGCCACAGCCAAGATCCTCACCCCAATGGCACCCAGTGGTACCTGCTCACATCACTGAGCCCTGAGCCTTCCAAGTCTATGTTACCTTTGGGGATGAATGGTGATCGTTTTCAACAGCGTAATTAGACCAAATCAAATTCTAGTCTTCTAATGGCTATTAAATGCATCGCAAACCCCTGATTGATTCTATTTAGAGAAAGAAATAAGTCCTGGCTCAGGCTCCCTGCTGGGCTGACTGGCCAGCCACCGATCCAGCTCACTCAGGAGATAGATGTGCCATGGATACATTTGTGGTGCAAGAGTCTGGCCAATGTCACAGACACCTACATGAGGATGTCCCTGGGGAGTGACTTTGCACTGGGCTCCACTGATGTCTTCCCCTTGACATTATAGGATCCGAACCGCCCAAGGACAAGACCATCATCCTGGAGCAGCTCCGGAAGATCTCCCTGCCTCTCTACAGCATCCTCTCGGCCCTCACCATCCTCGGCATGATCATGGCCAGTGCTTTTCTCTTCTTCAACATCAAGAATCGGAATCAAAAGTAAGCTGCTAGGCCCTCTTCCAGGATAACACCATCTGGGTTGTCAACTTCATGGTCCAAGTTAGGATCTTCACATGACAGATTCTCAAGGGGCACAAAAGTTCTTAGGTAGAGTTTCCTGAAGTGTGTAACTCAGTCACCAGGATGATTTAGGTACGTGCACATGCACACACACACACACACACACACACACACACACACACACAGGCAGGGCTACTGGTTACACAGGAGTCCTTGGTCAACTGAGTTTGGAGAAGACCAGGTTAAATAAAATAGAAGACTCCAAGTCCACAGACCTTCTCAGCTCTTTGGATATACTTAGCATGCTATATGATCTGAGAGTAGAAATCCAGAAGACAGAATTCCCCAGCTTCTCTTCCCCCTCCCAGATATCTTTGGAAATCACTGATGGAGGGGGGACTCCAGTTGGAACATGTGACAATGCAGAAACCCCGTCCTTACATCATCTCACTTGACCCTCCTGATGTTTCCTATGTTACAAATAAGAACCCCCAACCTCCATGACAGGAGACTGCTGTCCACATGTGCGAGGACCTGTCCCCTGGGTTTTTTGTTTTGGTTGCTTTTCCCAAACATATGCCCTAACTCTCCCAAGGACAGAGCTTCATTCTRAATTATTCTGGTCAGTCGTGGGTCAAACAGGCCCCACTCCAGGTGCTGGTGTTGACCACGCACAGCCAGCTTCTTTGGTTTCCATGGTGAATCCCTGCAGGCAGCTCCTGCTTTGTTGTGGGAGAGCCTAGCAGGGCTCAGAGCTTGGTTATTTGGGGGGCAGCCTCAGTGCCTGATGCAGCACCTCATATCTGACACCATGCCCAGAAGCCATGTTGTGTCACCTCACAGGCTACCAGGAACAACATGAATTCCAAGGAAAACTGTTTAGCTTCTCTTCCTACTTGCAAGGGAGGWATTTGAAGCCCCAGGCTCTTGTGGGGGGTTTTATATTTTTGGTGTTTGGGATTTGTTTTTTTAAGCAATTGCTTAGATCTAACCCATTTCCTGAAGAACAAATTAGAGTTTTATTCACCTGTTGTTTTATTAACCACAATAACAGGTATATTGCTGCAAAAAGATTGAACCAACTTTTTCTACTTGGTACAACCCTTAAATGGTAGCTGTACCTCCAAGCTGAACACAAAGTTGGCTCCCAGTTAGTGTCAAGCGCCTCCCTACCCGCCTCAAGAATTCCCATCAGAACAGCAAGCTGCCCCAGCATAAGCTCAAGCTCTTTTAATTCCTTAACTACCCTCTCATGGTCTCCTAGGGTACATTGCCATTCTCTTTTAAATAGGCAAAACCAACTGCATTTTTTAGCTGGATTTGCTATTGAAAAATCTGCAGAGATAAGAAATAAATAGCAATATGATTCCCAATCCCTCTCACTTCTACTTTCCTAAATGCCGCCCATCCTGTAGGGGCCACCTTCTCCTGGAAGTCTGCTAACTTCTGCCCTCCCCAGTCTGCTCTGCTAATGAGAATGAAGGCCCTTTTCAGCCTCGGGTTTATGAAAGGACCCCCAGGGGCTCAGTGCCAGCTTAATGCCCTGGGGACCCTAGACAGCATGGTCAACCAGTATGTTTCACAGGCCAGGAAACTCAGTCGGGTTAAGGGACTTATCTAGATGTGCCTCTAGAGGGAGGCAGGTCCAAGCTCTGGTCCACAGAATTTCCAACTTGAAGCTTTGTATGTAGTCCATACACACAGAAAAGCAGCAAGCTTTTTATTTTCCTATTGCTTTGACATGTTGCATGTTTAAAATGTGAAGGATGAATAGAACTGCAGAATGTAAAGAAAAATACTCAGGGAACAACTGACTATAATTACAATCTGCCAAAGAGTCCCTGAACATAGTGGGGCCAGAAAACTTCAAACTTTCTGAGCTGATTGTGCTGGAGAGCCAGGTACCTCCAAGGGTAACTCCAGCCCCTGGACAGCCTCATTTCGTCCTGGCTTGCTGGGCACCTGGGAACTACCACAGAACTCCTCACAGAAGTGGAAAAGAAGCATTGGAGAGTTTGGGGGTATAAAGAATGTTYCCAACTGTAGGCTGGTGAAGACATGGGTAGGGGTAGGGGATGAGGACTCTATCATCCACCTCCTAGGGCAGGGACAGTGATTGGGAGAACTGTTTCTACCACATACGTGGCCCTTAGTGTGAGCTTCCTGAGTGCTCAGAGGCAGCCATTGCTGATAACTCACTGGATACCTGATGACAGGGTTCCTAAGCAACTCCAAATACTCACCCACAGACCTCCCTGATGTCTGCGCTCAGCAGAATCCCTCCTCACTGTGGAAGGTCACTCCAATGTAGAATTCCCTAGATTGGCATGTTTCCCAGCCCAGGCCAAAAGAACCTGTTGACTTAGCACCATGGAGTAAAATTGAAAATTAACAAATGAAGAAGTTGAGGCAACAGATCAAGTTCACCGGTTTCTAGGGGAGAGATGAGTGAACTTGATAAAGGAAGCAGGAAAATCAACAATTAGAAATGCATAGTCATCTGGGTCCTTGAATGAAGGGCAGTATCCCCTAGTCAGTGAGGATCAGGAAGTGAGGGAAACAGGGCTTCCATCTTTCTCCCCCCATCTGTCCTTGGCCRCCACGCATACCTGGAGGCACCTGGGAAGTGTGTTGAAGGACTGACCAGATTAGCCCCTCTGTAAATGTGCCACCTTTCTTCTTCTCAGGCTGATCAAGATGTCAAGTCCCTACATGAACAATCTGATCATCCTCGGAGGAATGCTTTCCTACGCCTCCATTTTTCTCTTTGGTCTTGATGGATCCTTTGTCTCGGAAAAGACCTTCGAAACCCTCTGCACTGTAAGTCATGGGCATATGACATAAGGGTCTCTTGGTGACCCCAGCCACCCCACACAGATGCCAACCTATAAATGCATGAAAATACACAGATAAGCAGGAAATGACCCACCTAGCAGTCTGCAACCCGACAGGGGAGTATGAGATCACTTTCAGACCAGAAGGAGCATGAGCTGCCTGGAAAGTAAGGTGATGGGATACCCCAGAAAAGGGAGGAAAGAGAATTACCAGAAACTTCTCAGCATCGAGTCAGGGTCAGGGTCATTGAGGAAACCTCTGGTTACATGGGTGACCTTCACAGAATGTGACAAAARATGTTTGTGTGGCTGACCTTGCTTCACTCAGAAAAGCTGTAGCAGGGTTTTCTACTTCAGTGTTATTTCCCAACTTTCTTTTCCATTATTGCTCCCATCAGGAGCCTTTGGAAACATGTTTTCCTAATCATCTCTCCCACGAAATTGTAATACCAGAAATGCCTGTGTCTGTGTGTGTACTGTATGTACATACACATAAAAGATTGGTGTTCTCCACATAAAAGAACCAGTGTTGACTCCCCAGGGGGGCTGTATCATCCCCATTGAGGATGCATGTATTTAAAGAAGCCCAACACAATATGATTTATTTACCATATTTTAGAAAAATCATCTTGAAAAGTAATTAACATTTATTTTTTTAATATCCAAAGAAATGCCCTTTAGTTATTATGTTTTTTTTTTAAGTTATGCCTTTGCAATTGTGTGAAACTAAGTCAGTCTTGGCTGAAAGTTAACAGTATGGGAACCAATTGTAATTTATTTCTGGACTTGGACAATAGTGACCTCTCAAAACTTGTGAGCCATTTGGGTCTCTTTATTGACCTAACTGCAGCAATTCACTCAGTTCTCCACCTGGAAGATCAGAGCTACAGGGGCTAGCAAAACATCTTTGTGGACCAGATTAATGCAAAAGCTGCTCTCTGTGGTTGCTGTTTCTCTTGAGCTATTGGGAGCAGAGGAGGCCCATTTTTGCACAGCCGTCTCTTTAGGTCTCATTTATTGCTCTGAAGTTTCAAGTTGCCCACTGCCAGACAGTGATGGGTGAAAGCCTAGCAAGGAGGGATACGTGAGTGAAGGGCCCTTAAAACATGTGGCAGGCCACTTTCCAGGAACAGCTAGTTCCTGTGCTCTGAGACAGCATGAGGAAACCAGGGAGGCCCCCGGGATCCTGTGTTCTGGGTGATGATGCCCCCTAATTCCTGCAGATGGTTAAATCAGACTGCCCCACAGCATCAAGAAATTGGTGTTGCCAGTAATTTTAGCGTGAATCATCCAGCCAGAGAGATGTCTACAGATACACTCACCTTATTCTAAAGGTTCCACTGAGAAGTATAAGGTCATTTCCCAGTCACCACAAGAGGCAGTGAGGCCGGGTGTGCTCAGGCACCCTCCACTCTGGGGGTACACCTGGAGGAAGGTTAACCCCTAGAGCTCCAGGGCTCCGTAGGTCCTGCTTCTCACCCAGGGTTTTTGTTCCAAGTTCAGCAGTGCCCCTCCTGCTTCCTTCTGCCCTCCTGGGAGGTCAGGACAGGATTACAAGAGACAAACATTCCTTGTGCACCTGGCTTCAGAGTGCCTGGGGTCAGATTCCAAAGACACCGAGCCCCTCAGAGGTCCTTATAGGTATGGATTAGCAGGGTTCTTCCTGACACTGCAAGACCCTCTGGCGCTGGAATGACTGCTGTGTGGAGGGGGTGTTGGCATCAGGGGAGGCAAGAAGCCCATTAAGTCCCCAAAGTTGCTGCATCAGCAAGACTTTTATGCATGATGAGGCCCTGCCCTTTCATGACATTATCATTGTCTGTGCTCAGCTTTCCTGGGCAGTGTGGAGCTGTGTGCGGGGCCGTCCTGAGGCTCCCTACCAAGCTCAATGAGAAGGAGTATGAGGATTCCCTCTTCCATCTCCAAAGTGCTTTGAGCCCCCCACAAATTCAAGGACRTCATGATGATGACAATCATGAAAATGGCACCAGGGCTAGTCTGGTGATACAAGGCAGACACAGAAAGCTCCCCACCCAGAGAGTGTCCTCTCCGAAGAGAAAAGCCACCGGGTCACTTTTGTTTTGGCCAAAGCCTGTTCTGGCTCAGGTGCTTTCTCAAGTTTGACCTGAATTCTACAAACGCTTCAAGAAAGGGACATCCCCCACACCCGCCGTTTTTCTTTTAATGAAGCCTGACATTCTATTCCAGGAGCTGCACTCATTTGTGTGAGAGGAAGCTTGTCCTGGGAAGCCTGGGAGGGCGTATGAATAAATCATAAAGCACTTCACAAATCGGCATTAGCGGGCACAAGGCTCGGGAGGAGGCGGGGGCTGCTTCTCACACCCCTGGGAATTCACAGTTGGCAGTCGGGTCCTTTCAGGGCTGTTGCAAAGGGAACCCGCATTCATGACTTGGAGAAAGGCTTAGAGGAACTCCTCTGGGTGAAACTGGGTCAGCAAAATGTGTGCATCATTGGGACTGGGGTCACTTACTGGATCATTCTCTGGAGGAGGGACTGGAAGCTCTTGGATTTAGAACATGCATACAGTCCCCAGTGGGTACCTGAGGGCCACATGAGTTGTACTCTAACACTTGCAGGGGATCAGTCCTTTATTCCATGAGGTTTCTTAAGTTCTCTTCTCCTGGACCTAGAAGGCTGCCTCCCACCCCCGGGCCTTGTCCCTAGCAAACCCTGGGATAGGTGGGCAACAATGGATCCCCAAACAATGACCTCAGTTTTGTCACCTGTAAGATGAGTGTAATAATACTCTCTGTTAGATGCGACATGGGTTAAATGAGACGGTTCAGACAGCTGCCTGGTATGCAGCACAGGGTGAGTGGGAGGGGCAGGTGGAGGGAGGGGCAAGGTGAGTCACCTTGTCTGGGTTCTGTGAGAAATCTTCAAAGCCAAGGGGCAAGATAGACCTCAAAGTCAGCCTCAGGTGTGAGGTAGAATGTTACCTGCTGTCTTATAAACACCCTTTTTCTATTCTTTTAGTTTTTAATATAAAAATAAAACACAATAATAAACCACACACACCACCTCCAGAAGAAGCCCATGACAGTCACAGATTGGACCTCTCTCGGGGCTGGCTGTGTCTCTGCTCCATAGGGCCATTCTAACCTGCAAGGGGTGGGCGCAAGTGTGAGCACCTGTGTATGTACACACGCACAATTCTACTGCTAGGGAAGAGCTATACTTAGCTCCCATCCCCCACTYTCTGACCCTTTCTGGAATCTTCCCAGCCTGTCAGTGCCGGTTTCAGCAAGTCTTGCAAACAGCTCCAGCTACATGGTGCTGTCTCCCTGGACACTGTGTCAGTAGTGGAATCACCATAGCAACGTGGCCCCTGTGGGCACAGAGCTGCCTAGGAGGCTGGTGCTGGGTGTGGGCCAGAGCCCTAGTGCCAAGGGAAGGGAGTGCCTGCTCTCTCTGACAAGTTGGCCTGGCTCAGGAAGTCCAGCCCCTGCCAGCCAGGAAAGGGAGCCAGGTGAGAAGAGAAATGCATAGGCATGGTAGGCACAGACAGAACCCCAGTTCCAGGGTGCAGGGTAGGCGGGGGCTCTGCAGAGGGGCTGAGGAGGTGTGGCCGGCCTGCAGTACCAATGTGGGTCTGCAGCACCCTCCCGGCTCAGGAGATCCTGGGGTGCAGTAGTCAGCAGCTTCACTACCTCCCCAGCCCAAGCCCTCGCGGAGCTCAGTACTGTGCACCCTGCTTCCCCAACGGTCTGCTTTCTGCTGCTGGGTGCAGCCGCTCCTTCCAGAGCCCACAGCCACCTGACCAGGAAGGTAGGAGTCACTGTCCCCCACCTCATAGGAAAGTCAAAAACCTGTCCTGCATTGCTAGGTGGCAGGACAGAGACTCCCTGTTGGACTGCAAAGATGCCTGCTCTGCTCCTTTTTTTTTTTTTTTTTAAGAAATGCTTTGATTTTTGTTAGCTAGCTTATACCAGGAAAAACAGGTCAACTAATTTCTTAGGGATCTAGTCAATTTTTATCCCAACCAAGATCTTTGTCCATTTGGATCTTTAAAAATCAAGATATAATTCATAGACTGTAACATTCACCCTTTAAAGGTGTACTTTTCATTGATGTTAGTGTATAAATTCATTTTTGATGTATCCTCAGGATATATGGGAGTATCTAACACAAGAGAGAGGCTCTGGTATCAGACTGTTTGTGTTCAATTCCCAAATACACTGCTTCCCAGCTTTGTAAATTCAAGTTATTAATATCTCTGAACCTTAGGGATTATTTACTCTTCTCCAAAATATGGATAATACTATGCTTATAAGGATTTAATGAGATCGTGTATGTGAAGGACCTAATGCATGCCACATTGCAAGATTCAGTACGTTAGCTATTATCATTATGAATGAATGAATGAAAGGGGGGACTCTGTCAGGGTAACTGTGTTCACCTCTGGACACTGCTAAGAGAGACATTGATAAAGTGGGCTGAAGAAGAGCCTAGAAACTGGGGTTGGTGCTGGTCAATTTGGTGTAGGTATATCCATGACCACTTCTGGCCTTGTGTGATTKTGCTGTACCAGAACTGGATTGGGGACAAGCCAGGATGGTGTGTGCCCCTGACATATAAATATACACTTATTTATATGTATAGTATCACAAATATATCGTTCAATGAATTCCCACAAACTGAACTCAACTGTGAATCCAGGATCCGTAATAAGAAATGACATGAACTGTATCCCAGGAGCCCTTTCTGTCCCCTTCCACTTACTATCTGCTCTAAAGAGAACTACCATCTTGACTATCCCCTTCGTGGCCAGTGCAGCTCAGCGTAGGTGTGGATCACCTGGCGTCTTGATGAAATGCGGATCTGTGTTGGAACATCTGGGATGGCCTGTGATTCTGTACTGTGATGCTCCCAAGAGCTAGCGCTGCAGCATCCCCAGCCTACACCTGGAGTAGCAAGGGGAAGATCAGCTCTGGCTGCTTCATTTTGTGTTTGGGTCTTAGAGA